GGGGGGGGGAGCCTCTCTTTTAGAGGTAATTTTGAAGCTTTAATACATAAAAATTATTTTATTGCTTCAAAAATAACATTTAAGGACATTTACTGTTGAAATGATGTGTGAATCAGATTTTGGACCATGCTAGGACATCGGGAAAAATAACACCCGTCCTCCTATTAGCGGATCTCTGTTTTCCAGTCATGAGCTAACTGGTTTATAAGGTAACGGTTTAAGGTGTGGTGGGTATTTGTTTCTGTAATCTGTACCACACTCATTCTCTAGTCCAAATGAAATAATCAAATCCAAAATTTGCAATCCTTTAAGTAGAATGGGAAAACGGCACTTCTTAATGAAAACATTGATATAAATACTAGTTGGAATAACCAAAACTCCGAAGAGGAAAGAAAGACTCCGCCTTAGAAAGTCTCTTCACTTTTCACTGAGTCAAATGGTTCAGCTGTGGGAAACGGGGTGAACTAGAAAGGTTCTATAGAGTGTGTAATCTTAACAGCTAACACGCTATCTCTCTGTGGGTCTCCAATTCGGTTCGAGGTTACTGCCAGGTCATACAAAAAAGCAAATTCTCAGTTCAATCTCTTGCACGCGCGCTCACGAGCGCGAGTCCGCGGACACACACAACTCTTTTTGATATTTTATAAAATACAGCCATCCTTTCGCACCCCTAAAGAGCCTCAAAACACTCTGATCGTTGGTCTAAGCCGTACAATCAGCCCCAAAGGAACTCTTTTCTCTTCAAATACAGCAAATAGTCAAACAAATCGGAAAGAGATTAAAACCCTCGGTTTAAATTATCTGCGTGTTTTCTCTCCCTGCCAGCAGAGCCACCTGCCCGAGACAGGTCCCTGGCGGAAGCACCGGGCAGTGCCCTCCAGGAGGCGGGTGGACTCGGAACGCGTCCTGTGGGACAGCGGCGGGTGCGCCCTGGGCGCAGAGTCCGCGCTTCTCCCGGCGCCTCGCCTGGGGTCCGAGGCGAAATTCGCAGCCCCGGCTGCCACAGCCCAACCGTCGCCCGAGGGGGGGCGCACCAGCCGGGTCTGTCCTGTGGGCAGCTCCGCGCCCCGCAAGGTGCCTCCGCTGAGCCAGCACCGCCCTTGGAGGCTGCGCGACCTCCCGGAGGCGCGCGCCCCGGGCGGGTCGCTAGAGCAGGGCGGCCTTTGTCCACCCGGGGAGGTGCTGCTCGGTGCCTCCCCAATCCGGGGCCCGCCAGCCCCTGCCCACCTGAGGCTCCACATGTAGCTGTGCTTGTAAGGGAAGTAGCTACCCGGCTCGCCGCAGCAGTACTTGAGGTCGGCGAAGCCGCAGCAGTAGAGAAGTGTGGCTCCCTCCCCGCGCCGGGGGCACTGGAAGGGTTCCACGAAGCTGTGGTTGAGGCTGTAGTAGCCCGAGCACACCCGGCTCGCCTCGCTCATCGCGGCCGCCGTGGGCAAGGGCGCGCCTTCCACCTGCACCCGCCCCGCAGTCAGCGTCCACGGACCCCTCCGCCCAATGTCGCTTCTTCGGATCTGGGGTCTGGCAGCTGGGGTGTTCAGCTTTAGCTTGCCCCCTCTGCTGTTTCTCCTCCCCCTGTCCACATGGTGTCTGGTCGCTTTACTCTCGCTTCTCTCTCTAGCTACTGAGCGCTCCTTCCGTCTGCGAGTCTCCGACCTTGACCTCTTCTCCTTTTCTGAGCCCCCCTGACTTCCCCACACGTCGCTAAACAGTTCCAGAGTTAGTTTTCCCCGCTCTATGACCAAAGGAGATTTCACCTGTAGGAAAAGTAGAGATGAGAACATGTTTGCAATCTGGACAGATTGCAGCTGGAGTAGGCGAATTCCAGGCAAATAGCGGGGCTGGGGGTATCCTTTACTGACCAGGAGCGATACTCCAGAGCTGGGGTAGTGGGCAGAATAGAAGGCACTCAACTATCAGCGGGGATGTGCACTGAGAAGGACCCCTTCTTTGAGAATTACTCCCAGCCAGTTAAATCTTTCGATTAAAAAACCGAAGACAAGAAACAAGATTTCCTCTCCAAACTAGCCATGCATTCTGTGCTCATCTAAACGTTCTGGAAAGGGAAGGAAAGGCAGATTAATAACTTGAGAACTTTCGGGAGAGGCAGGCAAGAAGAGGAGGCAAATAAAACAGAAAGGGATCTTCCATCAGCAGAAATTTTCCTGTGCCCTTTCATCTGATATTCTCATTCAGGTACTTCATTTGCTCACGTAGATGCTCTTTGTAATAAGTCAAGCAATACTTCTGCTGTATAGAGAAGAAAATAACTGCCTAAGATGTGAGAGCAGAGACTAGAACATGAATAAAATTTCTGAGATAGAGCATTATTCCTTCCTCTTGTCTGCTTCCTTCCTTGGCCAGAGGGTTGAAAAGATACAGAAATCATGAATTTTAACTTGTTGGGTGCTGGACTCTTTTTGTAATTTCCCTCTGGGGATGTTGTTCAGTGACTTGGAAACAGCTGGATCTTTCAAATCTACTTTTAAGCTATGTTAGGATGGAGGATTAAATTTTCCCCATGACTCAGGTGATACCCATCTTAGGCTGTTATTTTCTTCTTTACACACCAGAAGTATTGCTTGCTTTATTACAAAGAGCATCTATGTGAACAATGGAAGCACCAGAATGAGAATACCAGACAAAAGGGCACAGGGAAATTTCTGCTGATGGAAGATCCCTTTCTGTTTTATTTACCTCCTACTTATCAGGGCTTCCCTGAACTCCCAGCTCTGTCTTCTCAACCCAAGCAGACCCTTGGATTTCCTAGTCTACAACCTAGAAGCTCCCCTAGGCACCAAGCTGAGGCAAACATGATGTTCACCTAATCTGTTTTTCCTCCCTCAGTGATCACTATCCTGTGCCTGCTGGTATTTGGGTTCAAAACATATTATTTTTATATTTTGTTTGTGTAGTTTTTTCAGTAAGGAGGGTAAATCTGACCCCCTGTTAAGCCAATTTAGTTGCAGTTAGCCAAGGTGTTAGATTAGTCAAGTTGGACCAGTGTGAGTGTTTCCCTGAAATCGGGCTTGTTCCATGTGGACAGGAAGTTACAAGAAATTAGTGTAGAGGGAAGACAAAAATGAAGAAGAAATGAGCAGAAAAGTAAGAGGAAAGAATGTAGACAGCTTTATAACACTTGCTCACTTCCTTTTCTGAGACCCATGGCATTCTTACTGTTTTGAGACAAGACAAATATTTTAAAATGAAATCCCTTTCTCTGGCTAAAATATATTCAGGTTGGATTCTACTCCTTGCAACCAAAGGTTTTAACAGCATATCTTTAGATAAAGATTAGTGGAGACAGCAATTGAAAGGGAAAAACTGAACTCTTTCTAGCTGGAACCGCATAAGGTACAGAAGAAAAGAAAAAGAAGGTTTCTGATGTGCCAGAAACACTTAAAAGAAGGAATTTCTCTGAGCATTTATCAATAGGATCAGAGAAGTGAACCCAAAAGTACAAATGCTGTAGCAGCTTCTTCACCTTTGTTAAGCTCAGTATGGTTTCAGCTAATATGCTGAGAATAGCAGAAGCATATACTTCAGGGGGTGCCCACACCTGAAGTCAGAAATGAACTGACCTACAGGTATGATTATGGCAAAAATCTACAAGAAATGAATGACCCTAACACATAAAGTGCTGACTGCTCTGTTCTCGGCCAATGTGACATCACCTGCATAGAGATCTGATTCATAGTTAGAAAATGCTTCCAAGAACAAGAAACTTCCAATGGTCCTTCAAGCTACTTCCTCTATGAGGTGGAATGAAGCAAATCACCTGTTTTGTAGAAGGTGGAGATGCTGGCAGCAAGGAAGGTTAGATCAACAGCCTTATTATAAGAAGCCTATGATTGCTTTAGTAATCTGACCACTTATTAAACAGTAGCTGCTTTGAAGTTTTTTAAGAAGGAAGCTCTTTAATCAATAAAGAGCTTCCCTTGGAAGGGGGGGAAGGAACAGGCAGTATGAATAAAATTTGCTTCCTGTTGTGAAGAGAGAAAGAAATATTGAGATGAAAACTAGAAATTTTTTTGGATAACAATATTAGGTATCTCAAAGTATGCAAAAGTCTTGTACTGAGCATGAGTAGAAATTCTACTTCTACAAAGTAGAATTTAAGTGCTTGATGACAATGAAAAAATTGAGTCACACTGTGGATGATAGGTAGAATGAAACCAAAGGACTGGGTGCATCACTGACCGCCCAGCATGATTTGAAATCACAGTTTTCTGGTGGAAGCAAACTATTGGTTCAGGTGATTTCTCCAAAAATGAATGTACAATAGTCCTGGAACAGGGGCAGGGAAATCAGGGGTAGGGTTTGTCAAATTGATTCCCTTATTCTGGCCCCTCACTACCTACCCACCACAGCAGCAAAGCATCTTAGCCCTTTCTAACCCCAAGTACACAGAAAAACACACAGAGAAATCCATGATCACAGCTGCTAGATTCTTCCAAGCTAGGAGTACTTGAGGCTTCAAGTTTGCTTGAAGCCTTAATACAGGAGACTTAGGACAAGTACAATATCAAGACTGTACCTCCCTGGTGGCCTGGGGTTAAATTTCAGCACTACCATTGCAAAGGCCCACCACAATGGCCAGAGTTTAATCCCCCACCAGGGAGCTGACACATGCAGACCTCTCCTGCCTCACCCACTAACCCCGTCAGCAGTTTATTTCAGTAGATCCAAGTGTTCTGTTCCCCACTCTGTCTCTGGTGAATCCTCTTACCCCTCCTCCACTTCCACCGATGGCCTAAACCACAGTTCTAAGCAAAATAAATAAATAAATAGAATCTTAAAAAAGAAAAAGATGGCCCTCCCTAGTGATGCAGCAGGTTAAAGCTCAGCACTGCAAGCAAGCCGCAGCTGCTTCAGTGAGAATTCGATCCCTGCCCCAGAGGTGACCCACATGGTGTGGTATACCTCTCCTGACCCATCCGCTGTGCCCCCCAGCAGTGTACTTCCATCGATTTGCCTACTCTGCTCCCCACTCTGTCTCTGGTGAAGCCTCTCACTGTCCCTGCACCTCTGGCCTGTACCCCAGTTTTGTATGCATAAATAAAAATATTAAAAAATAAAGAAATAAAAAGAAAAAGACGACTGTGGTTTTCCAACAAAACCAGGTCAGAAAATGCATATTGCTTGCTTGGCTTTGTCTGTTGCCTAGTCCATGTGACCCGTCCCCAGCTCAATGCCTCTAGGGAAGATTCATCTTGGAGCAGAGACAAGGCTGGCTCAGTACCAAAAGACAGCTATAACTCATAGCCTTTATTTTCTTGTACCCCACTGTTTCTCAACAAGGAGAGTACCCATCTTTAGGGAATATCTTGGAAACAAGAGGGCATTTTTGGTTGTCATGATGGCCGAGTCACCTACTGGCAATGCAAGATATTTTTCTGCAACACACACAGAAAAATGAAGAACTTCCTATGACTTTCCAATGTTCCTCAGGAAATTCATGGAAACAAGAAACCTATTTATTATAATTATCTGTGCCTAGAACTGTCCCTATTTTACACATAAGAATAATGTATTTCTTGAATTTTCTAGGAAAATAACTACTATGTAAATTGAGGGATGATTGTTCTCTGTTTTGTTTGAGAGTTTACCAAGAGTTTTTCACTATTTCAGAAAATCATGCACCAAATGGTAATATTGCTTGAAATTTTGTATTTGAGTTGCCAATACTGTGTCTGCTGCATTTGCTCTGTCACTTCATGGTGATTATAGCTTTTCCATGCACAGTATTGGTGTAAACATTAGTTAAATGAATTAACATGTAGAAAGCCAAAAGAGTGAAATGACATGTTGGCAATCAGGAGGTTAAAAGCAGACAAAAAATTTACAAAGTGACCCTGGTGGGTAAAAATTTGATGAGTTCAAACAGCCAAAAGAGTTCCTAATCCATGTTCCTATGACTGTTCTATATTTGTCTGGCTCCAGTCTTCATGAAAAGTAGCTATTCCTGGGTATCTATGCATACCTTTGAGAGGGGCTGAATCTCCCTCCACATATGCCACTTTAAAGCTATCACTTGCCCTTTGGGAACAGATAAAGCAAAGGTCATGGATCCCTCCATCACTTCTAAGTCTAGAATGGGATTTGCTGCTGCCTCCCATCATCCTTCTTTCTCTTTCTAAGGTTATTCACATTCTTATTTTTCCACACAGCCCTGAGCCTCAGAAGTGGCTGATCCTACTGCAGCAGCAAGGAGAGCCCCTGACTGGTTCCCTGCAGGACGTCAAGAGTTAAGGTTAAGACCTCAGTATGCCAAACTCTTGCTTGAAATGCTGTGACTGAGGCTTCGTTTCTCCTCCTGGTTATGGAGGAAAGCACAGAACTGGATGAAGTTGGCAGACAGTCATGCCAACATTGCCATGGATGCAGAGGGTGCTGCCGATACAGAGCTGAGAAGCAGAAA